CCCCAAAACCCCAAAACCCCAAAACCCCGTGACATAGGATTATCACAATTTGACAGAATAAGGTTTTGATCAAACTCTTTCATGGTCTCAAAATTCATATAATAAATAATATATTAAACCTTTTTATGAGTACACCTTCAATGGCTGAAAGAGCTTCAAAATATAAAACTCTTGCCATATATGGAGCATCAGCTTCTGTGGTTGCACTACTCTCTTATTATCTTTACACCAGATATCTTAAATCCAGTCGTTCGAGTTCAACTTCCTCAGATAGTGCTGATGAGTCCACCACAATTGCAACTCTATAAAATAAAAATGGAGTAGTGTCGTCATCTCCCACTAAAAGGAAATAGAATTCAAATAATACTCATAAAAATGGAAACCTTCCAAATAATCTAGGCTAAAACTATAGAAATTCCAAAACTAGCAGAGAAAAAATTAATCTCCCAAAATATGCATGCTCTTGTGTTGGAATTCAAAAATGCAAAGACTGCGAGGAAGATGGGCAATCTGACAGATCAATATATAGAAATAATAGAGACAGCATAAGTAACAATAATGGAAGGCTAAAAGGACCTCTTCACTAGAATGGTCGTAAGGTAGTATTTTTTGACAGCAATGATGAAATGATTCCAGCCAGTGAAGCATCTGAAGATGATGCACTTGATAGAAGTGTTAGATCAAAATACTACGCAAGAGTTATGGTATGTGCTACTGAAGAAGAAAAGAAAAGGTTAAGAGAGATGATTTATAAACAAAAATAGAAGAAAATTTAACAATTCTTAAACCAAGTTAATGATAAAAAGACATAGTCTATTCTATAAAATAAGAAAAAGTTCAAGGAAGACAATATCCGTTAAATTATTAATGCTGAAGGAGGTCCAGGTCAAAAGAGCTAAGGATCAAGAACTACTTCCACCATGAGTGATGAAAACGCTAAAAATTAAAACGGCGATGCATCTGAAATAACTAGACAATAAGACATGATAAAATACAATAACTAGAAGTCTCAAAAGACCCTTAACCATGGTTCTTAGCTTAATCAATAGTAACCAGGTTTAGTGGAATTGAGTCCAAGTCATTTTTAGGATAAAGATCGTAATAGATGGTTTGATTTATTCTCTCTATACACTTAGAATTTTATGAATGAAGAAGAGAAAACTGGAAAACATAAGAAAACACAAAATGTGACTGGCTATCATAAATCCTCTTAGCAAAACTAAAAAAAAAGATCAGCTTCAATGGAATGAATAAATGAAAATTTCCGATAAGCATGTGATAGTTTCCACTTGATCGATATAAAGTATATGTTCTTCACTCAGAGTAGTTTTATTATAAGACTGAAGTAAATATATGCAGTTTTCTTAGTTTTCTCAATTATAACTTATCAAAATTGTATTATCCAGGAATCAAGGGGTTTTGGGGTTTTGGGGTTTTGGGGTTTTGGGG